TCAAAGTATTAGATAGATAGATAATCAAAGTTGGAAGGGATCTTGTGGGTCATCTAGTCCAACCCCCTGCCCAAGCAGGAGATCCTACACCATTTCTGACAGTCTCTTCTTGAAAGCTTCCAGTGATGGAGCTCCCATAACTTCTGAATAACAGAATAATATGGATAAAATCACTCTATTATTTGCCTCCCGGCTTTTCCCCAAGGCTGGGAACCTGCCAGCGTTTTGTTTTGTGTGTGTGTGGGGGGGGAAAAACAGACATAAGTACATGCCAGTTGCCAAATGTCTAGATTTTGATCATGTGACCATGTGGATGCTGCAAACTGAGCATGGAAAACGTTCTTAAGTCCCTTTTCTCAGGGGCGCTGTGAGTCCAAACAGTCATTAAACGAACTGTTGTAAATTTGTCAGGGGAAGAGAGCAGAAAGGAGTAACAGTAAATACACAAAGACTCTCACTCTCTCTCTCTCACACACACACACACACACACACTGTTTTTCCTGGAAGGGAACCACTTTGCATGGCCCTGATTTGCTAACCAAAGCAGGCCATCCAAAGATCGCTGTCAGAGGCAAGGAGGGGTTGCGCAAGAGAAGCCAGCTTGGGAGAACTGGTTTCCCTGTGGCTCCTCGCTTGGGTGAGATTTTGGCATCGGCCCTCGGCTAACTGTCAGTCAAATCATGCGAGGTGGGGAGTTAAGGGAGGTGAACAACAAAGAAGTGTTGTTGGGGGTGAGATTCGGATTTGCATGTTTTCTTTTGAGAAAGAAGGAGCGTGTGGCTTCCCAGTCAGGAACCTTGGATCTGGTGGGCGATTTTCAGGGTGGAGAAGGATGGGGTGGGGGTCCTGAAATACAGCCCCCCCCTTCTCTCTCTCCCCTCTCTCCCCCCTCTCCCTTTTAAATCACTTCAATAGGTTTTAAAACAATGGAAATCGAGAATAATTTATAATTAAGAAAGAAGAGAAAAACTAAAGAATGGAAAAGAAGCCAAGGGAGGAAAGAAGGGAGGAAGGGCAAGAGAAAAGAAAGAAAGAAAGAAAGAAAGAAAGAAAGAAAGAAAGAAAGAAA